TTATGGGAACTGGATCTGTTCACACTGGACATGCAGAAGCTTGTTTTATTTATTGTGTGTTTATTGACACAACACAAGAATATTGTGCATTTCTTAAACATAATCATAAAACTGGATTAGAAAAATTCATAAATGTCTTTTTAAGTAGATGTAAAAACATCAGGCTCCTTTATTGGGGCAAATATCAGGTTTCTCATTTAAAGGAAAATGAATGAAATAAGGAACCTAACTGACTTGTTCTTGGGTTATCTAGAATTTGTTGGACTTGTATCACTATGTTTAGTTGGGCTTCATATTCTAGCCATATCCTGGGCCTTTCCAATTTGCCATATCCCAGAGACAGTGACCTAAAGGCTCGATCTGTGCTTTATCTGTCCCTGTACATCCACAGCTGGGCCCAGGGCATGGTGGACATAGGTGTTTTGGTGAATAATTGAAAAGTGGGTCATGCACAAATTAGAAAAAAAGTAGTAAGAACTGTCATGTGTCTAATATTTTTGACACCTGGCACTGATTATTTTTAATAATCCCAGACGAAAGATGTATTTCATTATTAATTATGATATGAAATAAATAAAAATATCAGCCAGAAAAGGACAGAGACAATAGTCTATAATTAAGTTTAATATATGTAATCAAACAAATAAATTAATTAAAAATAAAAACAATACATGTTACAGAACAAAAATACTTTAGCTGTTTATATAAAAATGTATACAATACACTGAAGATTTCTTGCGAGAATGGAAGCAATTTTATACTGTCATGTACAGTACTCTGTCCCATTTTTTCCAGAGGCAGACTTGAAGTAACTGAAGTTTACTTTTTTCCTTCACAATTACTGTTTATTTTAAATCTATTATTTTATACTTCTGCAGCTATAGTTCCCTAAAGGTTGGAGACACTGACTGTCCCTAGGCGAGCTCAATGGATTCCTAGTCATTCTGAATTCACTCTCATAATGAATCTGGGCAGCAGTGTCTCTGGGTAGACAAACAGGTGTTCTCTGACTTGACTTCCATGTGGAATACAATGTTTGTTAAAGAGTAATATATTCCTTATACATTTGAAGATTACATATGCATTATTAAAACTGAACAATAACCACAGCAAATGTTTAGAACTTGGACCAAAAAAAAAAAAAGACATTTTGGGTGGTATCAGTATTTTATCACTGAAATTGTTTAGAGTTGACGGACCATGGGGAAAATAAAAAGCAGTGTGCCTTTGGGTTTATTTTTTATTTTGGTTTATTATTTAAAAATTCTCGTTATTATTTTAAAATTTTTAAATTCTCTACAGACAATGATGAATTGCTTGCACCTGGGGCAGACCACTCCCATTGTCCTATCCTTGGCACATCAATATGGAAGGGATTAATTTTGTTTTGAACACGACTTAATTTTTTTAAACGTTAAAAATGTCAAGTTACCCAGTTTGACTTCCATGACATTCAGGTATCCAATAACTATTTTCTGCATGCCTGCCCAGGAGAGAGAATGTAGAGTGGGTGAAACCCGCAGAAGTGGCTGTGGGCAGTCAGAGAGTAGCCATAGTAGGTTCCCAGAGGAGGAAGAGCCAGGACATCAGCACTTGAGAAAGAAAAGTGAGCAGTAGACAAAGAAATGATGTTGCATTCTGTGGGTGATTATTTAGAGCCGGCAATGGGAATCGCAGAGGCAAGTTGGTTTTTCTTGGCTTGACTTCCGATCTCATTCTCTTTAGTTTTTACCTTTGATCGGTGTCAGCCATATGTGTTTTCCCATTCTGTCACCCAGTTCCTGAGGAGACCCCTCCCACTCTTCCTTCTGTGGCTTATCTGCTTCTGTCAGGCAATTCCATGGTGAAACTGTACAAAACCGTGAAATGCTGACCATATCTCAGGGTCATCTGGAACATTTGAATGCCAAATGTGTGGTGCAGGTAGGAAGTACTTTGTATAAAATTCTCTCTTTCTTCTCTTCTTGTACTGTTTTCTCTCACTGACTTAGAGTTGGCAGGGAAGCCCGTGCTATCCTTTGCAGGCTTTTCATGTACTTCCTCTCCGGTTGGAGCAAGGGTAAGCAATGAATACTCTTCTCTAAGATGACTCTCAGCCATTCTGTTTTAGTGCTCACGACCCTGTCTCAGAGAAGTCTCAGGCAAATATGTGGGAAAGCCCTGGAACCTGCTTGATCCTAGCCCCTCCATCTCCTACTCACTTATCAAAACAATCAATTGTTGACAAGGATGTGGAGAAATTGAAATGCTTGTGCACTGTTGATAAGAATGTATAATGGTGAAGCCACCATGGAAAACAATATGACAGCTTTTCAAAAAATTAAAATCAGAATTAGTATGTGACCTAGCCAGCTTACTTCTGGGCATATACCAAAAAGTATCCAAAGCAGGGCTGTGGGGTAACCTGCCCTATAAACATGCACACCCATGTTTACAGCAGCATTATTAATTATAGCCAAGACGGAGAAGCCACCAAGTCTTCATCAATAGATGGATGCACAGACAAAACGCAGTATATACATAAAAAGGAATATTACTCAACCTCAAAAAAGGAAATTCTGACACATGTTACAACATAAATGAACCTTGAAGACACTGTGTGAAGTAAAACCATGTAAGTAAAATAAGCCAGTCGCACAAAGACAAATATTGTATGATTTCACTTATATAAGGTAACTAGAGTAGTCAAATTCATAGAACAGAATGGTGGTCGCCAGGGGCTAAGGGCAGAAAGGAATGAGGAATGTTGTTTAATGGGTACAGAGTTTGGAAAAACGAAAAAGTTGTGGAGATGGATGATTGTGATGTTTGCAAAACAATATGAATGTACTTAATGCCACTGAACTGCACGCCCAAAAATAGTTACATAAACTTTTCCATTGTACAACAATGTGCATATGCTTAACACAGCTGAACTGTATACTTTAAAATGGTTAAGATGATAAATCCAATGTTATATATTTTTTTCCACACTAACACACAAAAGATAACTTGACAAGTTATGCACCTTCATCCCAGGAAACTGCATAGGACAATTAATTGTTATGTGTATTTTACCATAATAAAAAATAATTTGAAAGAGAAACATGTATTAAGGACCCATAGACAAAGCCAAAGGGGGTAGGATTGAGGGTGGGAGGTTGGGGTGGGTGGGGCGGGGAGAGTGATGGGGAGAAAATGGCGGCAACTGTACTTGAACAACAATTTTTAAAAACCCACAAAAAAATTAAAAAGATAAAAAATAGATTTTTACCCAGACCAAGTGGCTTACTTAGTTGGAGCTTCATCCCATACAGCAAAGGGTGGCAGGTATGATCCCCAGTCAGGGCACATACCTGAGGCAACTGATCGGTGTTTTTCTCTCACATAGTGTTTCTCTCTCTCTGTCTTTCCCTCTCTCTCTAAAATCAATAAAATATATCCTTGAGTGAGGATCAAAAAAAACTATAAAAAGATATTTTCAAGTTTGATTGTTACATGTCACTCTTAACATAGAGTAACAGAGAACAATTGTGGGTGAGTGAGGGCCGATGGCGGGAGTCACGTGGTCCTGCTCAGTGCAGGCTCCTTTCAGAGCAGTGGTTGGTGGTCAGCGTGGTTCGACTGCACGTGCGGTCGAGTGGTGTCACCTTATTCTTTCCAGATCAAGAGACCAACAGAAGAGTAAATCAGAAAAGCAGCTGGCTACCTCTGTCTAAGTGGATGGTACACTCTGGGATCGAGAGTTTATATCACAAAAGTGTCATTATTATATAATAGATAATGATCTGAGCATTCACTTCAACTCCTGTTGCATCTCTGTTGAGGCTGCTCGTGCAGGATGACTTTTGGCAAAAAGAAGTGACTCTGAGCAAAATTAGATGTTTTGTGAATTAAAAGCAAAGTTTTAAAGAACAGAGGCCTTTGCGTACTGTAATGAGATGTTCCACTTTTAACATTTAGGTCACTGGGCCAGAGGTGGCATGCATTATTTGTAAAAGAAAGCTATAGTTACCATGGAGACTATTTGACAATAAGAAAAAAAAAACCAATAATAATGGTTTAATTTAAGCCTTTTCTCCCCAGAAAAGGAAGAAAAGGGAGAAATTAAAAGGGTTTTAATTTAAGCCTTTCTCCCCAGGGCTCATATATGCAATAGTTTATTTTCAAATACACTGAGGAAGTAGGGAAGAATTGAGATTATTATCTCCACTTTATAGAAGGTGAAACTGAGGCACAGAAAAATAACTTGAGTCTGAGGCAGAGGCAAAAACCTGTTTTCTCATTTCCTCATCTCGGGGCCTGCTGGCTAGAAAGAACGGGCCTTCTATTCTGTTGATCCTATTCAACAAAGCTTCTCCCCAAGGTCCCCAGACATGGTATCATTTGGCTCATCCCCTCTCCACCCCTCACAATAAGCTTTATAAGCAGAGAAGCCACACAAGGGGATTTGGACTTTCAGGTACCTCCTGGAGGGAATGAATACGTGCATGACCATTACATAACTTCATCTGTGGTTGGAGAATCTCTGTTTCTCGTTTTCTCTCATTTTATTGTTTCTAACTTCATTTGAGCAGGGAGGAAAAAAAAGATTGGAATTTCAGTAAGCTCCATTTTCTTGGCTTAGCAGCCACAAGTCCCAGCTAAGTGCCACCCTGAATAAGTGTCTCCTCTGTGTTGAGGGGGAAACCACCCTCTGACCCAGAAATAAGTTTCGCAACATGCAGATGGAGGTTCTCAGAAGTCCTCAGCTGGAGCAGCTAAGACTGAGACCACACAATCCCATGGACAAAGGTCAGACCTATTTTAATCTCTGTTACTCTGGGACAAGGCCCTTCTTGTCTGATTCCCTGCTATTTCAGTGATTCACAAGCCTAGATCTCTTTCATCCGGGAGTGCAGAGCCACATCCCCCTTTCATATTTGTTTGTGAGTTAAAATAGTTCTCATTCCCACTCTTCTTGGAGTGTCTTCTGACAGACATAAAATGCCACAGACTGTGAGCCTAGAGGAGTCCCCTGGAGGAAGAGTAAGGGCAGGCTTGGAATGAAAACCCCTGGGGAGGATCCTGAGTGTAGCAGGAAGTGGAGCTGTTGCTTGCCTGGAAGGTACAGCAGAGGCTCTGAGCCAATAGGTCAGTTGGGGGTGGGGTGGGGACCGGGGGGGGGGGGGTTTGACTTCTTCAACAGGGGACAGTGCTCTTGAAGGCTTCTGCGCCACAGTCTTACATAGGCTTGTCCTGTACTGTCTGCTCCAGTGTATGCACTGTGGCAAGGTTTCAGTGAGTCCCATCCCTCTAGATCCGGTGAAGTTAGGATGACAGGCACACCCTTCATTTTTTGATGACCCAGGCCTCGTGTTCCATGATTGCAGGTCTGCTTGGAGCGATCAGCCTCATATTTTGGGGGGTATTTTTCTCCAAAGTGAATATTGCATTATAAAAGCCTGCTTATGCGATTTTCATATATTCTGTGATTTTTGAGTGTGCTACTTCTCTCCTTTTGCTTAGAACTTTATCTGCTGTGGAAACATCTCAAATCACAGTTTTTGAATGGTTTAATGCCTCAGTTTGTTGCAAACAAAGCAAAGGTTGAGAAATGTAGCCTGAGCTGATGGCCTTCAGGGAATCTGCCTGGAGCGATAATAAGGATAAATTGCTTTGTATTGACTCTATACTTCTTGCCAGGCACTGTGCAAATGCTTTACATGTGTTATCTAATTTAATCTACATAATAATCCTGTGAGATCACTTTAAGAAGAAAAACAAGGTTGAGGGAAGTTAGATAATTTTTCCCTAAGTCACACAATTAGAGGATAAAACCAAGATTCCATCTCAGATCTTCACAAGGCTATAATGCAAAATAGTAATTTTACCAAACCTTTGGAAATAAACGCGTGTTCCCCAATGTCATGGTCGTTATGGATATCATAAAATTAAATATTTTCTTAAACATTCTTCTCTCTCTCTTTCTTTTTAAAGAAAATTTCCCTGAAGTTAGTGAGAAACCCTGGTGAGTTGCCCTTTTCGTTTGTTTATAAGAGGAAATGTGAACTTTGTGATTGTTCCACACATTCTTGCCACTTCCCTAAATCAAAAAAAAGGAGCTGCAAAAGCATGGCTGTGATGCATGTTTTTGTACCAGAAGGTCAAAACCCAAAGATCCTTTAGCTTGTCATGAGGAAAGAGTGGGAAGAGAGCATTGTCACAAAAAATACTGGGAATTACAAAAATAAATAAATAAACATGAGGAGTATTGAGGGGGGTGCAGAGAAGGAATTAACATTTTGTTTCTGAATTCTGATTCAAATCTCATGTTTTCACAAGTAACAATCCAGAATAAGACTGAAGGTGTTTAGATTTGGTTGTACCAACACCCCGCCCACAAAGTAAAATGGAGAACAGAGTGCTACCCCCTCCTCTTCTCTGCTGAGGTCCAGCAAACAGCAAAATGCAGGACTTTTGCAATGGGCTCACTCTAAACCCCAGAGCCAGGGGAGAGTTAAGCCAATTACCCAAAATTTACAGTCAAAGAAAAAGGAATTTAGCTCTGATCATTTGGTAAAAAGAGTTCGAAAGCCTGGTTCTTATCTTTATTTGGTGTAAACTGAGTGACTTCGTATGATAGTTCTTCAAGATTTTTTAGATACTCAACTTTACTGTCCTCAAATAAGGAGAGGTGGTTTCACATTTCCTAGGGAGAGAGGGGCTGAGCCTGGAGATTGGGTTTTCAGTTGACTGCCAGTGCTGGGGAAGGAAGCAAAGGGGGCTTCTTAATCCCAGCTGCCCAGGAGAATCACCCGGGAAGCTCTTCAAAACTCAAAGCCTGCCAGTGGCCTTGGTCTCATGTAAGAGCAACCAAGCCAGGATCTCTGAGGACAGACAGAGCTTAGGTCAGGATCTTTTCGAAAAGCTTCCTCATGATTGGAAAGCATCCAAGATTGAGAAGCATTGGATTCAAAAGGAGACCATCATGCTGATGGTTGGAGATATAAATAAAAGAGACTACTTCAGCTCAGTTGCCTGAGTGACAGACCACAGGCATCTGACTTTTAAGAATATTGAGAAGAGATGAGGCAAAATATCACTGAGTTTATCTTCTTGCCTTTTCACTAGCATAGTGGTCTCCTGTATCAGTCTGAAATAAAATATAACTTACAGTCCTCAAAGCTAGTTGTGAAAGCAAATTGTAGAACACAGAACTTTCTTCTGAGAGATGCAAAAGCAAAATGTTTATGTTCTGATGAGTACTACTAAATAGAGAAGAATGACATTGACCAAAAATTTGTATTTTATTTTATTTTTGCTACCATTTTATTTATTTTCATTTTTAATTTTTTTAGTTGAATCTTTATTGTATTTTTTCCATTACCATTTAGTCCCCTTATACTCTGCGCCCCCAGCAATCACTACACTGTTGTCTGTGTCTGTGGGTCCTTTTTCCTTTTTGCTTAATCCCACTACCTCCTGACCTCCTCCCCCAACTAGCTGTGTTCTAAAATTATTCAGAAGTCACTTTCACAAAATCTTTTGGCATTATACTTTACTATTTGTACAAGTACATTCATCATACCTATTTGATGGTTTGAGTAGTGGTCCTCAACTTTATTTTGCATCCAAATTACCCAGGGAACTTGATAAAATGCAGATTGCTGGACCCCCATGCCAAGGTTTCTGATTTGGTAGGTGTGGGTTGGGATCCACTATTTCATAATTCTAATGAGTTCCCAGGTGATGCTGGTCCTGGGACCACAGCTAACTAAGTTAGAACTTGAACACCTCTCACAAAAAGTTCATTATAAATGTGTGAAGAATAATGTGACTATTTCACTTAGTATAATTCTGTGTTATTCCAAAACAGATTTGAACAATTCTCTAAAAGTATATATAATAGATCAAATTTTTAAATTAAGAAAGAGTAAAAAGATTGGGTGAAAATTAAGAATTGAGGAGTAAAATAAAATCAAGTAGTGCATAGATATAGAAACTATTTTAAAAAGAAGATAAAAAAGAAAATATATTTCATTATTTATCAAACTACATGTTTGAGTGTATTCATTCTACATAGCAAATCACATCATTTCTGAGCTTTTTGTTATTTCTGAAGTGCTTTAAAACTTAAGCATTATAATATTTAGCTATTCTAAAGTAAAACTAACACAGTGCCTGACCAATGCTAAAGATGCCAGCCATCTCTGGGAGAATCTGTTTTGTCCTTCCTTGTGCATGTAGGCTGCTCTCAAATGAAACACACTGAAATGGAACAAGTGGTGTGGTGCCTGATTTATCTGATATAGCTGTGTACAGTAGATAACTAAACTGACCAAAAAATATTTGGAGGCTTGAAAACTTTACCTGCATTACACAAAAACACACAGGCAGCAGCAAAAGGCAGTCTGAGCAAATGAAGCAAGTCACGCGAAGACTAGTTCCTGATCTGGCACCTGTCTACCCGGGGCAGATATTGTAGTTGATTCATTGAGAGAAGCCAGGTCTGGGATGTTTATATAAAAATTTTTGAGTTTTAAAAGTTGACAACAAATTCCATTTGAAAAATAATGCTATGTGAATCAAACAAAACCCTTCTGGGTCAACTTTAGCCTTACTCATTGTAAACTCCTGTCTTCAGGGATTAATGTTACCTGGTTATTTACCAACTGCCCTCTGAACCCTTATGGTGTTTCTACCCAGGCAGCTAATCTGAGGAGAGCTAAACAACTTGTTGACTCCATTTGCATGTTTTTTTTTTTTAACCCACTGGTCCTCAAAGCATGGTTCTAAGTTGAGTCAGCAGCATCTGGGAACTTGTTAGAAATGCAAATTAAATTTGCGCATCCCAAATGGATAAATTTTTGGATGGTCTTCCCCAGCCCTACTGAATCAGAAACTCTGGGAGTGGTGCCAGAAATCTGTTTTTAGCTAGCTCTTCCATGGGACTCTGATGCCCACTAAAAGTCTGAGGTTCCCAATTTACTTGAAAGGAATTTAAGGCAGCCTCACAAACCAGAACGGATGCACTGGGTTGGTGGTAAGATGTGCCAGCATTCCAGAGCCAGAGCTCACTGATTGTGTGATGTTCCAAATGGTGCTGGGCATTTATTATGAGCGTGTTAATAGATACTTTGACATGTCTGTTAAAATTTTATAAAGATATAATTTCAAATTAGAATGAGTCTCATTTGAGAAGTTTGCGAAAGAAGAGCTGTCAGTTTAAGGATTGGTGTAAATGACCATTTTTACTCATTGTTGCCAACACCTCTAGTGATTGGTGTCAGCTGAAAATATTCTCATGCCTCCTCTCACCCATATTTACCTACTTTGCAGAGCAGCACTTGCATATTTTTCGAGGATTCATAGAACATAAGTGTAGATATAGATCCTTACAACTACTTTTCCGATGGGAAAATGATTTCAGATAGACAAATACGAATCAAGATGTGTCTATAGGATACTTCTACTGAATGAAAAAAATTCAATCTTAAATCGGTATATCTGTATATACCATTATCCAGATGTGTGGCAACAAATGTGAACAATTCAACTTGTTATTTAAATTTGAATATTTGAACACGCTATTTTCTTTCACATATTTGGCATTGGGTAGTTAGCATGGTGTGATGTTAGAAGCACTAGTGAGCACTAAGAAAACTTGTCCCATGTCCGTCTCTACCCATCTGTGTGCCTTGGACTATCATTTGTGACTTCCCTTTTCTCAGTCTGTAGAATGAAAGACTTGCACTGAATGATCTCTGAGAAATTTTTAGCTCTGAAACATTCTAGGATATCAAAGGTTTAGTGTCATGTGGGTTATGAGTTTTAGCTGGAGCTTCTTTAATTGGCTACTGTGGGTTGTGTATTTACATGCATTCCATTTAAATCACATGCTGTGAGCTCATTTAATTGAACTTTTATAGTAAAACTTAAGTATTTATATTTTGCTTTTAATCTTTAAAGCACTTAGCATACTGATGAATCCTTCTAGTAACACTTCGAGGTGGCTAAATATTATTTAAAAAGGGTGAAAGAGGGAGAGAGGATGAACAAATGTAGGGAAAGGAAGAGGGGGGAGAGAAGAACTATATATATACCATGGTGGCATAATTTTAAAAAATTAAAAAAAAAAGAATGTATACCAGGAACAGAAATAAAATGAATTCCCTGTTTTATATTAGAACTTGGTACCAAATCTTCCTTCCTCTAAATGTAATTTTTCCCTTTAAAAAACTGAATTTATTGGGGTGACATTGGTTAATAAAATTACTAATTTTATTGGTTTCAAGTGTGCAGTTCTATAATACATCATCAGTATATTGTATTATGTTTCACTATCCCAAGTCTCCTTCCATCACCATTTATCCCCCCTTTACTCTCTTGTATCTTTCCCACCCCCTTTCCCTCACTATATCGTGTCTATGTCTATAAGGTTTTTGTTGTTGTTGTGTAATCCCTTCACCTTTTTCAATCAGCCCCAGTTCTCCTCCCCTCTGACAGCTATCATTCTGTTCTCTCTACCTATGAGTATGTTTCTATTTTGTTCAATAGTTTATTTTGTTCATTAGATTTCACATCAGAGAAATAATGTGGTATTTGCCTATCTCTGACTGGCTTATTTCACTTAACATAACATTCTCCAGGTTCATCCATGATGTCAGAAGAGGTAAGATTTCCTTCTTTTTTATGGCTGAGTAGCATTCTATTGTGTAAATGTGCCACAGCTTTTTTATCCACACAGCTACTGATGGGCAGGGCACTTGGCCTATTTCCAAATCTTGGCTATTATAAATAATGCTGCAAAAAACATAGGGGTGCATATATTCTTTCAAGTTAGTGTTTTGGTTTTCTTTGGATCTATTTCCAGAAGTGAAATTCCTAGGTCATAAGGAAGTTCCATTCTTAATTTTTGAGGTAATTCCATAGTGCTTTCCACATTGGCTGCATTCCTGCCAACCAATCTGCATTTCAGCAACAGTGCATAAAGGTTGTTCCCCTTGCTCCACATCCTTGCCAACACTC